TTTTTAACCTATACAAAATGTCATAACCAACTTTTAGCTATCGCTGTTTTCGAGAAATGAGTAATGCGCACCAAAAGAATGTCAGTCCGTTAGGCGTGGACAGATTCGATATCACCCAATATGTTCGTTATACCACTGCATTCTCTCTAATTTCTTTTTTAAAACGTTAAGAAATTTATTTATTAATTTTTTATTTTTAATGCAAATAATCGATCAGACTACAAAGAAAAAGCTTTTTGTTAGAGTCTATATTATACGAGTGTTTTTCATTCATATGGCTTCTTCTAATCTAACTGCTTTTTTCTGAATCGGATGATGAACTTGACGATTCCCAGTTTTTGGAGTCATCCATGAGAATGGGAACACCATTGGTGCCATTTTTGAAACCATAATGATGAATTTTGTGCTTGCCTTTCATTATTTTTCCTTTGCAGATTAAACGACAACCTTCTTGAAATTGTGGTGGCAATCGTGCTTTCAAATCGTTTTTCAAACTAAACACAATTCTTTAGGAATGTAGGAGCTACCGACGGATTATCAGTAATACATACTCTTTGACAGACGATTTTTCCGGTAAACTGAATGCCAATGATTGACCGTCCGATTTTCGTGTTACAGTAAAATTGACACGATCAACCGTCGTAGTTACAACAGGAATAGTAGCTGACATTTCGTGGAATGATATCTAAAAAAGTAGAAGCAAAAGTGTCGAAATGTCACGGTTCTTATTATCATCTTCCTTAATTTTTTCAATGTCTCGACGCTCCTCTCCTGAAAGTAACTGCTATTCTTTCTTTGAAGTGTAGGCAAAAGGAACATGACGGGTGCAGGCTTATGTAAAATTGAATGGACCAGATGGAAAAACTCTACCATTTCTTTTTCTGATTACGAAACGGTTCTGATTATGAAATCGTAGATGGGTAAATGAAATACACTTTTTTTTCTTGCAAGATCTTTAGATACGTAGAGGACTTGAGCCAGAGAGCTGGAATTTTCAGCACAAGTTAACTTTATGATAACACACATCTGCGAAAAACTTTCAACTCTCTTGCTCTTAATACAAAAAATAAATTTTCTGACTAATTCCGCAGCCTTAAAAAATAAATTTCTTTTAGAGAACACAAATTATGCAACATTTTTCAAGAGAAATTATGGGCTGAAAACTCACAGTATATCATCCTTGATCTTAAAAAACGTGTCGTAGTTAAGCGTCAAGTCTAAGAAATGTTCTGTAGGTTACCTTTTATGCTACTGATAAAACGTGACTGACTGCGAGGACGAATAAAGTGAAAGATGTTTGTGTGTAGATTCTTTGTCGTTTCAATAGAATAAGAATGCAAAGCGAGAAATTTAATAGAACCTTCGCACATTATCTTTTGCTTTTTAATGTGGCATACAGAAATCTCAATGTGAACATAGAATATGTGCACATATTGTCGTATGTGAGATAAAGAACATACGCTACATGCTGAGGCTCTATTATTTTTATCAAGAAAATGAAGAAAAAAAAAGAATCGAGAAAAGAAAATTAGATACAGACACTAATCGATAATCAGCTAGATCTGAATACCTGAATCAGCTTTCCAGTTTTTGCAGTTCTGAATCAGAGTCTGAATCCGCCGTAATAAAACTTAAAATTATTTTTCACAAAAATATTTGTCTTTTTCTTCTCACTAATTCAGAGCTGAATATTCTGATCAGTACTTTCAGAACTGATTCGATTAATTAGATAATCCTCAGTAATAATAAGGTTTCATTATGTTAATTAGGAAGCGCTATTCAGACTGACAAATCTATATAAGTAAGGTTATGTTCGTCCTACAAAACTTAGATAACATCTAAGGCACCTGAGTGGTCGGAAAGTCTGTCCGCTAACTTTTTGACTAATTCCTTTAACTTAAATGGCATGTAACTTTTTTAAAGTGTACATGGTCTTAAGGGCAAACAAGCGATGTACGGTGCGCATACCCATAAAATTCTATCCACCATGTTTTTTATTGTTTCCTGACCCTCTGTTAGGAGGAAATAACATGAAAGCCGTTAAAAGATCAATCAATAATTGAGGGCTAAGTTAGGCGCAATCTATCACTCAACGTTTGCATCTAACTTATCTCAACCAGTGTTTACTGTGGTTGTAATGTTTACAAGAGCTTTTCTCTTCGAATAGCTAATTCAGCTCTGAAAAATCTGAGATTGACACTTCCAGAAAATTCAGCTCTGCTTCCGTCGCTAGAATCAGAGCTGAATGAGCTGATCAGTATTTTCAATGAGCTGATCATGTATTTTAATGAGATCTGATTCAGAGCTGAAAAAACTTAAAAGCTGATTCAGCTATTCAGACCTAGCTGATTGTCGACTAGTACGAACTATAGAAAAGAAAAAATAAGTAGGCATCTCTTCTCGCTCATGTAGTTTACATCATATAAATATATATATACGATCTGTTCTCTTTCTTTTTTTGAAGATTTTTACTGATAAAAATCTGAAGTACTCTTTGAACTTCACTTGTCGTGGCTTATCTTTAATGGCTCTTAGAAGCCATTGCATAAGAAAGACGATTGTTTGCGAGAAGCAAGCCATTCACACAACCCTCAAGGATTCATATCTCAGCCAAATAACACCGTATACACTTGAAACTTTTACACCAACTAGGGCCACACAGGTGGGTGCTCACCACTACGATAGTCTCAAATTTCCACCAGTTTTACTTCTTAAGATACAAGATTTTTTGTTATGGTAGAGAAAATTGTATGTGTGTCATAGCGGAGAGAAGTGCTTTTCAATTGAAAGGTAGATACAGAGGTCACATTTAGCTATTTGTGAGATAGTTAGCTGTGCAGTTTGGTAACTGATGTCACCAATATGAAGGTTGTCTCCCTTCTGCGACGTAGACGCCTCTCACTTTAGAAGGATCTTTTTTTATTTACAAAATATGTACGAAACTTGTATTTACAAAATCACAATTGTTAAGATAGAGTTCTCATTCCTTCGATCTCTAGCCTCTAAACTGGTATAGTGAGAGAGAACAGCGTTAGCCCTATAGGGAAAGTAGAATACAAAGGATACCAACAAAAATGCATACAGTGAGAAATATATGCGATTTTCTCTACCATAACAAAAAATCTTGTATCTCAAGAAGTAAAACTAGCGGAGATTTGAGACTTTCGTAGTAGTAAGTACCTGGTGTGGCCCTAGTTGGTGTAAAAGTTTCAAGTGTATACGATCCTATTCGGCTGATATATGAATTTTTCTATTTTGGCCGATTTGCGCTCAGAAAATCAGAAAAATGGCTTGAATTTTCGAAGGAAGAGCTTTCTGAATAAAATCTCTTAGGCTCTTTAATATCACTACGTAGGCAATCGATCCATGTGGGCTGCGTTGAAAAAGGAGGGTTACACCTGAGAAGCTTCCCTCGTTAGCCAAACTTGATCCATTCAGATTGATTTTTTAATGTTGAAAACAAATGATTAGCCATTATGATCGCATCTCTAAGATTTCGAACAAAACAAAATTTTGTTCCACCACACAAAAATGGTAACAACTTTTGCTATTTTCACTTGATTGATGAGAAATTAGTCTTTGTGCCGGGTATTCACATTCAAACTATTTTCGCTCTGCACAACGAGATAGAGCGTATTTGGAACTTACTGGCTCGAAAAATACTAGCTCAGTCAAGTGTAAGAAGGAGGAGAACATTTGAAAATACAAACAGTCCTAATTTATTCTGCGCCATCCAGTAAGATACATCAATCACACCTGATGAGCTTGTTAAGAGATAACTGGAACATGGACAATTCCCATTTTTTTAATTTTAATTTTCTTGAAGACAGCGTGGTTTCGTAACCAGATTTCCACATGGTGTACCGAACGGATGAGAAAAAGAAATGAAAAAAGAGGTTTACAGAGATTGAAGCCAAGGTGAAATCTTAACTTAAATTACATGTGGTGTTCGCTACAAAAGTACACAAGTCTGACGTCGTTGGCTACCACGGTTTTTCAATAGTAAACAAAATCATAATGATTGAAAAAAGAGTCAGTTTAGTGACAACTCTTTTTAGAAGTTTTTCATTTCTAGTATTTTAAAAGGATTCGGAAGATTAATGCTATTTTTTTGTCCAACACAGATCTGACATTTCTCAATAGGAAACGTGTCAGAGTGATGTTTGAAACATGTTTCACTACTTAGTTTCTCATAGTTCCGATTTTCAGTATTTGACGCCTGTACCTCAGCATCTCTGACTTTTTCTCTCATATTTTTTGCAACGGTTAGATGAAATTCTCAGCGCTAATCAGGAGCATCGCCTTCAACGCTCAAAAATATTAGATTTTGATAGTGAAAAACACGTTTTACTGCTGAGAGGATGAGTGAACTTTTTTGAAGTTTTTTATAGGTTTGTACTAAATATGAGAACAATCAGCATGAGTTTAATAATCGCTAGATCATGTTGATGTGACGTTAGGAATTGGACATTTCTTTTCGTTTCTCGATACAGGTCTTTGCCATGTACGGAAATCGTAAACCGAATGTGTTAATGTGGTGCTGGTACACCAACGGCATGTTCGGCAACAATCAAATGCAATCGCATTAATACATGAGGATTACATTTCGAGAAGATAACTACAAAATAAATTAAATTTTAGGAAGAAAGCTAGAGAACAGAAATTTATATTCATAATTATCATGAAATAATGATATTCACAAATATTCTCTTGACACTCAAGATTCCACCTTGATCATCTGCGCTGAGCGATTGAAACTCAGAAATATGGTTGAAGTGTGATAAGAGTTGAGAAACCCTCATTTTCTTTCATCTTAACAATATAAACGAGAGAATTGCATAGCCATTGTACGGTTTGAGGAAAAAACACGATAAAAAAATTTCGAATATAAAGGTCTGAATGACACGTTTGATAGAACTATGCCGATTGTGTACAAACGTACTATTTTCTGTGCACTTTAGAGTGTGATATGGTTCCGATGCAAGGATTTTCAAGAACTACTCAATCCTTAGTGCTATCGTTTTTAGAAAACGGTATTATCGAGAGGAAAAAAGCTATCGTTTTGTTTAAACTAAAAGACAATGTATAGACCCCACATTGATTGATGATTCGGACGAATAGCCCAGGTTTCAACGAATCGTATGATCAGTGATGAGTTGGAGTTCAAAGTTATTTTAGTCGAAATATAGACAAAGTAATCTCGATTGACATTTTGTACAAAAAACCAGATTGAATACATGTTTCATCCTGATTTCTGGTTTAATAAAAAGCTCTCAGAACTTTTCTTTTTTGCCAAAATACAGAGCTTATTAGGTTCTATCTTTCTGTCTGTCTTGAGACTTTTTAGAAATGTTTATTAGCATATAAACCTGGTTCTAATCTCCGAGGACAGAATTTTGCAAAAATGTTTTCAAACAGAGGTTTTTGATAGAATTAGATCCAAACATTATTTTATTTAAATTTAAAGTACACATTCTAAAAATCTGCTTTTCAGGCTACAAGAAACTATAAAACGCTTTTAGAACAAGTATGAATAAATGAGAGAAAAAGTTGATTCTTTCTCCATATGGAGCCAAAAAAACCAATTTTGACCTTGTTCAATGTACATCTTGATATCCACTTGAGACGGAAAGCTCTTTTTTTCTCAAGTGAATGACCATTTCTAAACAA